ATATTAGATTATGTTTAATAATAATTTATCCTATGCACAGATTTATTTTATTCTTACAAATTACAAAAGTAGTATTATAAAAGTGAAGTTTGGTTGTGGATAATTGCTTAGTTTATTCAGTTCCTATTTGCTCGATAGATTCATAATGTTTTTCATTGATGGTCCTTAAACGTACTTAATTTCCATGTGCAGAAGTGTGTACGAACCCTTCATGCATCAATGATACTTACAAAGAAAATACCTCCAAAACATTAATGTAGCCAGCCCATTTGCTAGGATTTAAACGTAGATCAAACAACTTGCGATCAGTGCTGAGCCATTGATGCACTGGCCTGTGCATGGAATCATATAAAAATTATCACAGCAGTTTTTTTTTCCCCCTGTTGCAACACCTCTGAAATACTTTGAAATGAATGTGTTTACATTTTATTGATTTCATTCTTCATTTTGAATTGTTGTCCAAAAATAAAGTGCCATTTCTTGTATTTGTTTAGTGCATATCCTTTTATGGTTTTCCTGGACAAACTTCTTTCATAGATCCTCTATTACATCCCACATTACCTTGTCTAGAAATGATTCCTCAACATGATTCACAAAGTGAATCTGATTCTTCTTATCCGAAAGTAAGTGTTTTGGGACTCCTTATAAAAAATCGTTTTATTTTTAAAGTATTTTTTTATTCTGAAAAATTAAGTATTTTCCATTATGTATGTAGCTAAGGAAGCAAAAACGAAATAGAAGAGCACGAGGGAAAAAAATTCATCAGAAAAAGGAATTGGAAGTATCTCGAAGTGAAGGTGAACATAATTACTGAATCAAAGATTGAAATATTCTTGAATCTGATACTGTATATTTACTTTATAGAATATTGATTAATTAAAGTTCATGGACTAAAATATTTGGAATTTATTACTTTAACTGCTCAAAAAGGAAACTTACAGTTTTACTATGTATTTACTGATTTTATTGTAATAGAAAAATGCATTTTTATACTTTTTTGAGCTAATAATTTAAATTTTCTCATTACTGAAACTATAAATCATTCCTCTTATTTTAATGCCTGAAATCCTAAATATGTGTACAAGATAAAATATTAATTTTAATTTGCAGTAGCCTTATAAATCTCATTTTTAATTTGATTATTTCCTCTGATTTTCCTAAAAATATGTAATGTCTCTTTGAACTATATGAATTCAAAATTAATCCATATCATATGATTCTTGTATAATATTCATGATGAATGTATTTGCATAATGTCAAAAAGTCTTTGCCAATAACAATGTTAAATTGTGCAAACCGAAACTTTAATTAATCAACCAAGATAAAGTACAATTATAATTTCACTAGCATCCAGGAATCTTTGCTTTTTTTCTCTACTTCTCTGCCTTCAGTAAATTGCTACTTCTTTTTGCATATGAAGTATAGTATAAAATGTGAAAAGGGCAGATGTTAACATTAAGAACAGGGCCACATTTTATGCCAATACAGCTGTATGTCTTTTTTATTTATTTAAGAACCACATACAATACACGCTCGTTTTTACGAACTCGTAGGGACTACGAAAACAGTTCATTAAATCGAGAGTTCGTAATTTAGAAAGGCATCGGAAATTGTTAGTATTTCACATTTTAATGTTTTCGTGACAGGTTAGTGATACTATTCCATGCTTTTATTTATGTATTAGGAATTATTTTTAATAGTATTACTACTTAATAAATGATATCCATTCTATTAAACAAACAAGAAATATAAAATATTTGTAAAACGTACCTTTATTAAGTCATGAGCAACAAAATAATCACTTATCTTGTCTGTTTTTTAAAACAACAATTGTACAATGCAAGACTCCATCTTCTCTATATTTGTTAGCATTTCACAATTATCACTGGCCTCAAAAAATCGTCTAAGTTCTGACAAGTATTCAGCAAGCTGCTTGTTTTAAAAGTCGGTCTTGGTGTTATTTTTCCTTTTCTTCTTCTTCTTCTTCTGGATCTGAAAGTCTCTCATTCTCGTTGATTATGATAATCCGATATTTCCTCCGTGCAGATGACATTAGAATCCCATTTAAAAAATCCTCGAATGAAAGTTCTGGCAACTGTGGATTTCTACACGCGAAGTTCATGCATGAGAACCTCATCTTCGTCGTGAGATCTATTGTCATGGTTTCTTCAGTTACGTCTGTTTCTTTAATAAAACCTGCATGTCGAAAGGCTTTAGAAATTGTTTCATCTAAAACTCATTCCATGCACTGATTGATAAATGCATTGCACCAAGAATATCAATCTGATAAGGTTGTTCCCTTTCCAAGCCAAGGATTACTCTTTGCAAGAGCACTGTCTTATATTTTCGCTTGAAACTATTGATTATCCCCTGATCCATTGGCTGTAAAACTGCAGTTGCATTTGGTGGGAGATATTCCACACGGATTGGCCTGAAGCCCAGTGACTTCCATGTGTGCAGTACAATTGTCCACGATTAGGAGAACTTTGCGCTTCTCTGCTGAAAAACGGTTATCTAAATCTCTCAACCATTTTTCGTAGATGTTGGCCTTATTATTAGCATAATATGCAGCAGGAATCTTCTGAACATTTTTGAAAACACCTTGGTTTCAGATATTTTCCATAAAGAGCAGAGGCAATTTTTGTGACCCAGTCATGTTGGCTGCAATCAAAAACTGTAAGTCTCTCTTTAGCTTTATTTACCTTACCTCCAACACATTTATCTCCTTTGTAAGCTAATGTTCTTTCTGGCAAAATCTTAAAAAACAAAGCCGTTTTCGTCCGCATTAAAAACGTCATCTGCCGGTATTCAGAAAGAAGCAATTCAACTTTTCTCTTTCCATTCATTTGCTGATGACGTGTCACTGCTGCACTTTCACCACACACTTTCCGAAACTCAACCATTCCGAAATTAAATTTCTGTAACCAACCATCCGATGCTTTAAAATCTTTGATGTTTAATTTGGAAGCAAAAAAGTGTGCTTGTTCTTTAAGTACATTTCCATCAATTGGAATGTTTAGGCTTCTCATCTTTCGAAACCAAACAAGCAAAGCCCTTTCCAAATTTGGGTGTTTTGATTCTCGAAAATATTTTCGAGAGGAGGGTCCACATTCATCGTTTCCGTTTTTAGCTCCAAAGATCTTCTCTCTTGCCTTTAAAATCGTCGATAAACTATTTTTAGGAATTCCATATTTCTGAGCAATTTGTGTCTTGCTTAATATTTTTTTTCGTCAACTTCTTTTAAAATCTTCTTTTTCTTTATTTCAAACAACCGCTAAACAAATTCGTTTCTTCATTTGCGACATAGCGCTAAGAATCTTACTTAACAAAAACTGGCCCAATCTCCCTCTCGACTAACGAGACTTCACTGATTGAGTTGTCCAGATCAAATGACTATGACATTACAAAAAGCAACAACTCTCTTTTAGAAGCAACCCAAACCCCTTTAACACGAATGGTCTCACCCCCACCCAACAACATCAGGCAGATGCTCTTCTGAGAGCCTCCCACAACAAACAACACCATAAATTTGTCCTAATTCCCCCTCTTCTCCGCCCCCTCCTTCCTTACTGTACTTCTTCGAATGTTTCGCACTTGCTGCCTCAAAATAGTTGGAGATTTTATTTGACCTTCACACTTCGTCCCAATGAAACATGCAGAAGTATGAAAACTGAGTTCGCAAAAAAGAGATTTTCCTGATTTGTAGTTTGTAAATAAGAGCGCAAAATTACATTACATCTATGGGAGTGTATTCAGGACCATTCGCTAGTTCGTCAAATCCAGAGTGTTCGTAAAAAAGAGGTTCGTAAAAACGAACATCTACTGTATTTATACACCAGCTATATTATATTCTATGCCATCCACATCTGAAGTGTCATTATGCGGGTGTCCTTTTGTTTGTCAGATTTCTGGGGTTTTCCAAAGTTTTATTTATTTATATGTTTTATAAATTAACAAATTTATTGTAATTTTTTTTTTCATCACTGTTTTAAAATTTTTTTTTTATTATTATTATTAAAATTCAGAGTAGGGGAAAGTCCAATAAGGAGATATCCTTCTAATATTAAAATTAGTCTTCCTTACCATATACACAGCATCTTATTGGCTAATACATTGCTAATGCATTAATATAGAATTGCACATATCTGAATTTGTGACAACTGAATAGCATTCAGAAGATTGATCCATTTACCTTTTAAATAAAATGCATGTTATGTGATTAAAAATATCTTTGTGCTGTTTTGTGTTGTAGATATTTCAATGATAGACTTAGTCCTGGTGCTGATAAAAGGATCTATCAGTCTTTTAGACAAGTATAGGCAAAAGTGAGTGGAGCACCAGAATGTCACTGTTGGGCCGTACAATTATAATCCCAATGTATTAATTGTGCAACTCTGCATCAAATTTGATTAAGAATGCCTCAGATGAGGGATTTAAAGATCTCTCCTCCTTGTTCGTGGATCACCAGACCTCTGAAGAGAACTTTTGACTGGCCACTGTAAAACTTCCATACCATATAGTCACTAAGCTTACAAACACTTTTTTTAAGGTTTCGAATCACGGCTCAACGATGACAGCAAGCATCGCTAATTCCTATTTGATTGAGTGGCACACTTTTAGGCAAATATTAAGAATAGAATTGACTATATTTAAAAAAATTCTGACTGTGTATGTGCCTCAGTTTTCAAATGCTGCTTAAATACAGGGTAACCCACATGAAAGTAACCCGCCTTTAGCAATAAAATTACAAGATAGACACCATACTTCTATGAAGATGAGCACAAAAGGACCGAATACAAAGGCAAAATAAAGCAACATTGTTTTTTACTTTCTTGGCCACATGAAGCCATTGGAGATTTGGACCGAGTTCAAAATGTGTGGCACTGGTATTGTAGGCAGGCTGCATTTTCATAGTTGTTCCTATATTTCCTGTTCCTGCTATAAAATGTACATTTGAAAGATTCTGGTATTCTAAAACCACCTTCATCAATTGTAAGATATTTTATATGGAATTTATTGCATTGATTTTATGTGAAATATATACTGATGAGCCAAAATGTTATGACCATCTCCACATTTTTCAATGAGTTCATCTGGAGGAAATAGAAGGCACATGATTAAAAATGGTATTTAACTGCTGCTAGAGAAGGTAACGAATCATTCTTGGACTTACTTTTGCGAGTGATGGCAAAGGCTGCTGATCTAAGTGAATTTGATAGAGGGCAGATTGTAGGGGGCCCGAATACTTGGAACGAGTATCTCCAAAACTGCACAACTGGTAGGTTGTTCACAATCTGCTGTTGTTAGTATTTATGCAAAGTGGATAAATGACAGTTAAATCAGCAGTATACGCCACGTTGTTCGATGTCCACATATCTTCAAAGTAAAAAGATGTCAGGAGCTGTCCCGCTTGGTACAACAAAATTGGCACCAGACAATGGCTCAGCTAACAGCCCAATACAATGCAGATCCAAGTGTAACTGTTTTAGAACATATAGTTCAGCAGACACTGTTGAATGTAGGACTGTGCAGCAGACATCCACCTCGTGTGCCTTTGTTGACCAAGCGTCATTGTCAACTACACTTACAGTATTCACGGGAACATCGAGACTGGACCATGGATAAGTTGAAGACAGTTTCCTGGTCAGATGAATCACGATTTCTCATTCATCATGGCAATATTTGTGTATGCTTTTTCCAGGTAAATAGAGTACCCCTGGTACAGCAGGCCATATACAGAGTTGTGGTGGCAATATCATGCTGTGTGGGACATTCTTATGGGCAACTCTGGGTTCCATAGTTGTGGCAGAACAGGCCATGAAATCTGCAGACTCTTTGAACATAACTGCAAATCAGTTGCATCCTTACATGGGATCTGTCTTCCCAACTGGAAATGGAATCTTCTACCAGGACAATATCCCATGTCACATGGCTCAAATTGTGTTGAAATGGTTCAAGGAGCATATGGATGAATTCCAATTAATGTCTTGCCCACTTAACTCACCAGATTGTAACCCAATAGAGCACATTTGGGATATCCTGGAGCAGCATCTCAGAGCTCAAACACTACCACTACCTGTCTCCAGTCATGTACCAAAAATGTCTGTGGCATCCATGCCAAGGCAAATTGCAGCTATTTTGCAGGCCAAAGGTCATGCAAGGTTTTTCTTTTGCTATTTTCATTTTTGATTTACACTGTTTCTGCACTTTTTCATGCAATTTGTCACTGTGCTTTTCGATATTATTTCTTATGGCATGTTCCAGGTTGAATATGGATCCATTTAAAACTTTTTATTTTACACTATTAACACCAGTTGTTGCAGCCATCAATACATAACTGGATTAGGTTTTGATCTACTTTTTACTTTGTATTTATTCATTATATATCTGTATATCTATATGTGTGTGTGTGTATATTAATTGCAAATATCATTGGGTTTAACAGATTCCCTTAGCATAGTGTTTCTGATTACAACACTAAAGATTTAGTTAGTATACATAACCTTTGAAAAATATTATTAACTTATTATTATGTTGTGTAATATTTTAACAGATTATTGATGTATTGCATGTCTCTGCTTTATTTTCATTTTGTCTGTTATTACAGATGATTCTGATTCTAAAATTAGTGATCTCAATTGTAGTATTAGTAGCCCAAGTAAGTCTTCACCATCTTCTCATAAAATGTATGCTGATAGACTGAAAAGCAGCAGTTCTGATTCTGAATTCTCAGATGCTGAAAATAATGCTTCAAATCTTAAGACACTTTTGGCATCAGCTCGTCAAAATGCTTATCAGACTTTACAGGCCATTGTTAAGGTAAGCATCATGTTAGTCACTTAATTTATTGTATATTAAATCATTTCTGTATTTCACAAGCCATACTAAATGTTCATATTTTTTCTTTTAAACACATTCTATTTATTTGAAAATAAGACCTAATTCAATATAAGACCATTTTATGTTTTTAAGTTAAATTTTGAGAAATAAAAATACAGGGGAATATTTGATTAGAATTCATTTGATCCTAATCAGATGGAAAGATAAGTTACTTAATTACATGGATTATTTTACTATGATATAGAAAGATGAATTAGGGAAACGTAATGTTACATTATTAATTATTTGTTTTCGGGCACACCAGTAACAAGTATAATGGATGCAGGTCTAAACTGAAATTGTTTAATTTACCTGGGCTATAATAACCATCAGTAGTTATTTATGTATGTTTGTACATATATATATATATATATATATATATATACACACACATACAGTCAAAAGTCGTTAATTCGGACACCCATAATCCGGACCTCAAAGCTACAAACTTTCTGCGCATGCGTCAACACGACGCATGTGCATAGGCGTTTATGTGTGCGTGTAAGACCTTTACGGCTGCGAATACGCGTGAGCGCGTGCGCATAAAACGTTTATGCATGCGCGTTTAATGTATAATGGACGGTATAAGCTAAGCTAAAATTATCTAATTCAGTTAATGTTGCAGATTGCGTTGTGCCTTAATCTTCGAATTGGATCCGGCTTATTATTTTTGCACTGTTAGAGCAATTTTTATAAAGTAAGCTTGAACTTTCAATTATATCAAATAGAATTTCCGATATATTTTGCTAATATATAAAGGATCTAAAGGAAAGTATGTTTCGAAATCTGAAAAATCTGTATCAACTTCACGCTGCTCGCGGGGGAAAGCCGGGCGCGCAATGAATTGGAGTTGATCTGTCAGCACTATCCTTATCTTCAGGGCACATGTTTTTATTTTATTTTGCTTATAACTCCTTACAAATTAGTATTCATCTCGATGTACTCCGTGTTTGATATGATTTAAAGCAAGTTCCCGTCATTATAATTCGCTTCCGATAGTGAAGAAAGTAACAGAGGTTATTGAAACGAAAAAATTTTGATTGACAAAATTAGTCGGTATATCTCGACACAGCAATAGGACTTGAACAGCGGAACTTTGTAACTAAACAAGAAATTATGTCTGTTTAATAGAATTAAAGAGAAAGTATTATCACATGAAACAAAGCACTTAAACAACTTACATTGAAGAAATGTTAATAAAGTAAACAAATAAATAGTAAGTTTTTCTTTTTGTAAATTTTGACACCCTTAATCAAATTGTCTTTATTCATAAATAATTTCATTTTTAATTTTGTAATTTCTGGCCTCTTACAAGATTTAAACTGATGATCTATAATCCAGAAAAGAAGTCCCGACGAGTCCGGATTAACGACTTTTTGACTGTATATGAAATAAGACCTAATTAAATATGAGTATCATATATATATAGTATATGACATAAATATGAAAGTCAATTAATAATTTAATTGACAATAGATCTTTTAATTCCAAAATTTAATTTAGACGTAATTCATCTTCAGAGTATGTGTGCTGCGTCATTAATTTTTCTGTAGTAATCCGCATTGCTGTAAACTCTCATCTAGTTGCTGTTCAGAATTAATACAAAGGAGCCAAGCCTATAAATAACTTCAGCTGCTTAATATGAATCACGTTTCTTCCCTGCTCTCGCTACATAAGCATATAATTAACCGCTTGACAGCTTAAACTTTTGTAACACTGTGATTGCGTATATAAAATTATGGGGTGCTTATAGCAATGCTAGTGTTGTACCAATCAAGAAAAAATATGTTATGAAATTTGTTGTCCAAAAATGAAATGTATTTTACTGTCAAGCTAGCTGTGCTTTTCGTAAATTCCAGTCATCTGTGTAACAGTTTCGGTCTCTTTGCTATCACTGTCCCTCACCACGACTGCTACATAATTTTTTTTCATCTTCTGCCAAAATCATTACAATTTAGGGAGTGACCCAACATCAATCCTGTGTGTGCCATTGAAAAGTATTTCCATTAGCACAATTATTGTGCCTTGCCACGACTTTGCATGTGTCATACAAAAATGTATTTCTTCAGAAAATCTAAAACAAGTGTGTTACAGGCTTTAAATTTTTAACGCAATAAGCCTTTCTAGTCTATTGCAGTTAAATTCAAATCGGTACATGAAAAGTGATGAAAAAAAAGGGGGAAAAAAGTGTTCTCTTAAATAATCAATGGTTTAATATTACAAGCGATCAAGCATTAGCATTGAATTCAAAGTATCTGCAAAAATAAACAAGTAAAAGAAAAAGGTGACATTACGTCAGTGAAATGTGCTGATTCCAGAATCAAGAGCAGCTGCCTTCTCATGAATAAAAAATATGTTGCAATATATTAAAATGTGATGAAATTACTTTTTTGTTGCCTGCTTTGTTCTACAAATTAAAAATCATCAAATGTTTGTGATTTTTGTGTATTATAAAATGTGATTAGCCTTTTATTTTTTCAAGTTTTGATTTATAGTTGAGAGATGGTATTTATTTACAATACGAGTTCATAATTAATATCTTTCGGTATAAATATGAAATTATAATTTCTTTAGTGTTACAGAATTTAGAAATATGCTGTTAAAATACACATGCTTTTATTGCACATCACATTGTCAATCACTGAGCATATCTTTTCTCATTATCTTTTATGATTAACAACTCCTTTTCATATTAAAGGCACTTATTAAACTTTCATTTTTGAGCAGTTCTGCATTCATATGTTGCCTTAAAATAACTACAAGAAACTAAGTAAAACTGTAATAACTAATACATTAACTTATTTTGCAACAGAATCACATTATAAATAGTTAAATAACCTGAATCATGCATTATAAAGTAAATGCAAGTTAATTTGGAATTATTTTGAAAGCCATGCATCCTCCTAGGAAAAAAAATCCTCCTAGAAATCGTTAATATTTTTTTACATTTTCTGACATTTAAAGTTTGGCAGCTATGCATTATGATAAATGTTTTAATCAACAAGGTAACTACATGGAACAATAACATGAGAATGTATCCAATTTTTGTGTACATTAAAATATTTTTCTCCATTCTTGTTTTCAACTAAAATTTTTTGACAATTTAAGAAAAAATCTGATGTGTACACCACATGACTTCCTTGTACGGAATATTAAATTATGCACATTTTTTTCTTGCATTTCATTTAAACTTACTGAATTAAATCTGCTTCGCTGACAGCGCATATATAATATATTCATCTTTAAACCACAATGAATTCATTTTTTTTTAAAAGTCCCAGTATTCTTAACATAGCAACACTCTGGCACTAGATTCACTTAACAGTATTAGATTTCGTTCAATAACTCTAATGCACAAAATTTATGTAATTTAAAGAATAGAATTTTTATCTAATCCTTGCCGCTGTCTATTTAATACTATAATCTGTTAGAATAGAGAGAAAAGAATTAAGCAAACAAAAAAAAAAGAAACAGTTTTTCACAGATGATTGATATTTCTCATTCAATTAATTCATTCTCACGCCCTGAGGCGTGAGAACTGAATATATGACACTCGTTTTTGGTTATGTCAAGATATGTACGTATACAGAAGTTGTACAGACGTCACGAAAAATTCTCTCAGAAGTAATTTAAACAGTTTTATAATAATGTTTTTTTTTTTTTTTTTTGACGAAACGAGTCTTTTATTTGTTCTTACTACATATTCACACAAAAACATCGTTAAATTGCATTCGATAGCGGTCAAAATAGATATTTTCGTTGAAATATCCTGCCTGAAACTTTTCGCGATTACTATACTTCCTTTTTACTTCGTACAAGGAAGTAAAAATAACCCTTATTATAATGTAAGTAACTTTTATGTATATTAAAGCTTTCATCTTCTCTCCTGTTTTCATTTATAAACTCTTGAAGACTTAATAAAAGTAGCCCTTGTAAACGTGAAGTCCTTCCACATTCATTTGCTACACTTTCAAATGCATTAATTTTTTATAAATATTTTCAAGCATCAGGCATATTTTAAATTTTATATTTCCAGATGAATAGTACAGTAGAATCTTTATAACCAGGAGAAACAGGTCCTCACTGATTTTGGATGATTGAATATATATTTCTAGAATTTTTTTGTTTTGCTTTATAATATAATCTACAGAGGCAACAGTGCTCAAAATCTTTTATATTATGTTTTCGTGTATTCAGTGTATATTTTAAATAAATAATATTGAAAATCATCCAGATTATTTAAAATTAAAACATGTACAAATGTTTTTATATTTCGAGAAAGCAAAAAATTAAACAATGTTTTAAAATTGCTGCATATATTATCTCTTGAAAATTGAAAATTTCATAGGGTTATGGCATATATAACTTCAAATATCCACCTGCTTACAAGACTGTTGGTGCAGTTTTAAAAATTTGACACGTGTACAGTGAAGCTTCACATCATGTGCTGATATAGATGAACTCTGCTCAGCAAATCGTATGAATGTCTCCAATCCTTCTTCAGCTTCTTTCCACTTAACTTCTTTGATTTGCGTGTTATCTTGATCTTCCCTCTCCTCTTCATCATCTTTCTTCTTTCTCAGCATATGCCAAATTATTTTTTCATCATCTTGAGAGAGAGTGACAGAAACTGAATTGTCTGTGTCCCACCGCTTCCAAGCCTGCACCTCCTCTTCATTAATACTAACTTTCTCTGGCCATATAACTCAGTCCAAGATATTAGTCCCAGGTGCTACATGTGTTTTGCATCCAACAGAATCTTTGTAACTTATCATTTGTGAACATGATCATAGGCAACAGTTTATGGCGACAACAACATAAAGTAATATGTTGTACATTTTCCAAGCAAGAGACAAAGTAAATCTGGCATTTTTCGATGTGCATTGTTTTTGAAAATCATGAACTTCAAAAGTTTGTGCATTAGTTCATACAAAATTAATATAATTCTTTGGTTCATTAGTTGGATAAAGCTTATTACATTGGGTGGTAGACACATAATACAAATGTTCTGCATTTAAGTTTTCAGATTGTTAGCCCATTCCACATTTTTTTACCTCATAATGTAGGGTTTACCTTATTTTACATAACAAATTATTTTAAGTTTGGTACCTTTACTAAACCTCTCATTTTCTTCTCTCAGTTTCTTGCCAGAATGCAAATTTAAAGTCAGGTGAAATGAGTATTTAAATGCACGAATCTTGCAGGTTATTCAGAGTGCGATTTTGTGAGCTAGCGCAATTTACTAGTTTATCCTTGTTACACTGAGTTGTTGATACGCCTTTTGGCTATTTAATAAGTATAATGCCAAGTAGGTCAGCCTAGTTAGCCTTAAATTAAATTATTAGTCCAGCACTACTCTTTATCTTTGAAATTAATTATTAAGTTTCACTGCAAGTTGTCAGTGTTAATGTAAGCACAAAGCACATGCATTTGTGTTCAGAGTTTGATGAATAATAAAGGGTTATTTAACCTTTCTTTCTGCTGGTATTCTTTTACGCCTGTCAGAGAAGTTGCCAGGTTTCCTTAATGAGTTCTTTGTATGACAGCAAAGAGAACAAGATCCCACAGCAGGCTTAAATTTCAGATTTAAATTTAGACCTTCAAGAGTGATTTTGATATTACCAGTTAATTGGCTGTTGGTTATGAGAGATTTTACTGTTTTTGAAATTATCTTTCTCATATCCTAACATTATTGATGCTTTATAGATTTCAGACAAGAAAGTGATGTTTGGTTACTGGTCATCTTTTCTTCCAGATCAACCCACTATGCCAGGAATGGTCTGTAATCAAAATATATTCACAACAGTACTGAAAGATCCAGTACCTCAGGTGATTTTTAATTTTCACCATCTTTTCTCAGAAGTTTTTTTTTTTTTATAAATCTGTAAATTATCCATAAATTTTTATGCTTATATCAATTTAATATTTTGTCATTCAGGTGAGACTTAGTGCCTTGATACTACTTGCTGAAATGCTGAGAGGCTCCAAACAATTTTTAGCCCATGCAGATGGACGGTATAAATGCTTTCTTATTTTCTGTGAAGAATTGTAGCATTAAATAGTTGTATTTCTCTAATTATTCAATTATCATAGCTGCTAGATCTCCTATTTTACCAAGATACTTCTGTTTTTTCCCACATGTCCCAATCTCCTGGTAGATCACAGAAGCTTTGGGTTTTTAATTTTTAGTCTTTACCAAAGAAAATGCTGTCATCAATAAATGTAATATATTGAATAATGAAATTTAAATTATGCAAATTCCATATGCCACCTCTAGTGATTTTCAGCATAATTTTATTAAATTTTGTTTGTTCTGAATTGTCTTGAATCTATTGTAAGCAGTTGTAGAAAATTTTGGGAAGATTCAACCAATTTTTAATGAGCTCATATTTGTATTTAATATTATTTTACATTAACAAATGATACATTATTAAGTATATCCAGACAACAGTATGCATCCTAATTATTAATTTTATTTTTGTCATATTTAAAATAACTTAATAAATAAAAGTCCACCCTCTTTGTATTCAAGCTTTTCACAGTATAAAAGTAAAAGAAAATTACAAAAGTGACATTTATAACTTTTTAATAAAATCCACCCTTCTGTATTCATATTTCACAGTAAAACAAGAAAATTCCAAACATAGCAAAGAACATAAAATTTACAGTATCTAATTAAATATTGATACATTTTACATCTGAACCATATTCTAAATAGTTTAATAACTTGAATCATGCAATATAAAGTGCATTTAATCCTTTTGAGATGGTATATGCGTTGGTCACCAACTGTATCACAAAGGCAGATGTGTCATTTATGAATCGTTATTTAAATATACTGTTAGGAACAGGTGTACCACATATGAATTTTTAGATCAAAAGTTTAACTAATATTATCTTTTTTTTTTTTTTTGCTGTTATATGTAACTCTATGGTGCCATTAGATGTAGCCCTATGGTATTATGGTGGAATTTACCGGGAGTGGAGAATGTTGACCATCATTTCGCTGTAGTATTTTTTATTTTTGGTATTCTGTTTTGGATTCAAAGCAGAATGCGTGGTGCAACTAAATCAGAACCGAGAGAGAGGAGGAAGGAAGAAAAACTGCTTTTAACATATGTGAGGGCATCGAAATCTTTTAAGAGCTTAATGCCTCTAAAAGTCTTAATTTGGCCCTGCACATGGGGATGTTCTATATGCATCTAAATACTTTTGTTTTTATTTTTGATGATATGGGGATATATGTCATATTATTTTAAAAGTTTTATTCCTTCCTTTAGGTTGGCATTGAGGAGAATATTTTGTGTATTGTTTAGCAAACTTTTTTTTATACTACACATGGCAAGAAAAATATAAGGATAAAGTTTTCAAATTAATTCTGACAACTACCTGAGTATTCTTTTCATAATATGCAAAAAATTGGAGCAATTAGGCTACAAATTTATGTGAATTTTTCCCAGCTCAAATTCCTCATTCCATCAAGACAGTGCATCCTCTCAGTGTCCAATCCCAAGAAAGCAGTTAAATGACTGAGCACCTCCCCTCAAATTAGAGTGAATTTAGAATTCTTTTGAAATAGTGTAGCTGCGCATTGTGAAAACCTCCCACATTTTTGTTTTTTAAGGTTAGCAGCTATAATTTATAAAATTTGTATATGTAAAATAATACGAACTTTTGTATGACATACTATCATAAAAAGCTATTTGCACCATAAACTTTTAATGCTTGAATGCAAAAATTTCTTGTATTCATGTGTTAATGAAGCAGTAGCCAAAAAGTAACTCTGCTGGATCCTTCATGTTTTTTGTTCAAGATTTTGATTTATCAAATGATGGTTAGTTTGCAATTATATTCTTTCAGAAGAAAGAATTATCCGTGATGAAAGATTTTGTTCAAATAATGACAGGATGTAGATATATTTGTATGGAACATAATTATTTTTATGGATAATCTCTAACTCAATGTAGGTAATCAGATGACTTATCATATCATAAATCTTCTAAAGTAACACCAACACACAAGAAGGTTTAAAACCAATTTTTTTATTAGATTGTATGATTTTATGTTTATTAACCCAGTATCTTATTATTTTTATCTTTACTATCACTTCTTCTATATTCTACTACAAATATGCCAATTTATTGATGGATATAAAAATAAAGTTCTTAAAGATAAGGAAGAGCTTTTGACAGTGATTCGCTGACTATCTCTGGACTATATATTTTCCCAGCTTTTAACTTTACCTGAATCGGCTTTAGATTTTGCTACCCTTATTTGCTCATAAGATTAAAGGGTCTGAGCCAAATCTTACAATAGGGCTTTACTGTGAAAATTTATATTTTACCATGACTTTTAAGTTCTGTTAATTATCACTAAAAAAAGTGACTTGTTCTGCTAATTTCAGATGATGTGTAAGTTTCTAGTAAGGAGGTTTATTTTAAACCATCTTCTGAGTAAGGTTTAGAAGGCCTAAGATGGGGCAATAATAGCTTGAATGCCTGCATGAAGCCAGAGTTAACATTTGAGATACAAAATTCCATACTAAATTTCCAATGAAACATTTCAGACAGCTTGTGTAGTAACAGAAATTCTTCAGTTATTTGCTTTATTAACCAAACTCAAATGTTAAATTAAACTGTATATTAGAATACATATTCACAAGTCTGCTTATAAGTTTTGTTTTAGGCTTTGAATAAGAAAGAAATTTAATATAAAAGCACACATATATAATTAAACATGCATTAAAAAGCATCAGTACATAATCTTTTTCTTTATTAAAGTAAACATGCATAAAATCACACTAAAATTTGCTTTTATGTTGTAATTCTGAAGTGGTTTTACTACTCTTTTCCTCTTTCTTTCTGCTCATGCACTGAGTATTGTAAGGAATTTCTTCCCTCCTTATTTTGTGCCTTAGTAGTGTGACTGAATGCATATTCATCTAGCATCAGGAAGGCAAGCATTTGAATCCTGGCGAGATCATTGCTGTTTCATGTTTCCTTGAAATAAACCTGATGACTCTACTGTAATCAGTTAATTTTGCACTCTTTGTTATACAGATCCTATGTATTTCAAAACTAACTTCTGGCCTCATAGAAACTGTTAGGCAACTTATCCCATCTTAATCTTCCAGAGAATAAACATAAACTCAGAAGAAGGTTTAAAGTAAACCTTTACAGCTCAACAAATTGTACATCTGATGTAGTAGAGAATAAGACACTGCTTCTGGTGGAATAACAAGAGTCAGAGTAATACTTACAGGGTTCACAAGAATAAGTCTTATTGCAAGCTCTGGTTTGGGTTTCTAATCATGCAAGCAAACACAGCTTGCAAAAGCCTATTCTAAGCCATATAGAAGCTGGACAAAAATAGCATTGCAGACAGTTAGTGACTTCTGTGAAAAATTCTCTCCTACATAATCTAAACTGCATCCTCATAGATGCCAATGGAAATAGGAGTGACAGCACAGCAAAATAATAACATAATTGGTTAAAAACATGAAACTCTAAATGTTTTAATGCTAGTGCAGCTAAAAATGAGATATTTAGGTTGCCATACTGAAAGCACATTTAAACATAAATAAAAGTAGGATACCCAAACTTAAACAGAAGATTAAACAAAAACAGGAGACTGTTTGTATAGAAGAATTATCCAGAAAGAGTACAACCAGACCTTTGACAAATGGAAGACTTTCACTGTCCAGCAAATTTGAGCATGAATGTGCTAAATTGTGCTTCACTTTTGTAAAGGGCAGTATACCAAGTGTGCATTCTACAAGTGAATTTCATGCACAAATGCAAAAAATAATCAATCCCAATTTTACCATGTTTACCATCAATGTCAAATCCTTGTTTAACTATCTCTTCATTTGAGTCTTAAACAGTTTGAGTCAAAATCTTTAATGAAAAACTAAAAATCACATTCAAATTTATTACTAATATCTATGAAGCCTTTTTTTATCCACAATTTTATAATATTTAGACCTAATGGAGCAAACGTATAAACAGCAAGAAGGTCTCTTTATGGAACCTCAGTGTCACGTCTCACTTATCCTGGCTGAAATTTATGTGCAACATTTGGAAAAATTTTCTTTTCCAAGTTTCCTTAAAACACAGTTTTTAGAACTGATATGTTGTTGATATTTTCATTCCATGGAAACATTTAGGAGATGCAAGTTAAAGCTCTTTTTTCATTTATATCAGAAAAAATCCCCACCTGTAATTTATGATTAATAGAGAAGTCAACAATTGCCTTCAATTTCATGATTTCTTAATTTTAAGAAATAATCTAGTTAACAGTCCAACAGTAATCCTGTATGACACTGTTCTATCTGCCTGAAACAGTGCTTTTACGTATGTTAATCATAGTTTCATTGTTTCAACCTACAATATTTTATCTCATTTATAACTCTAGTTTAACTACATGTGCCAGTTAATTCTTCAATGTCTATGCAGTTGCAGCCCTGAAATGGCACTGAACCCAATGATCATGCCAAGAGAAGGAAAAGTTGTGAATTTTTAACATCATAAAACTCTATAATGTTTTAATCCCATATTTCTTCATATTCAGGAATTTAAATGCATCTTGAATAAATCGTTAGGGATGTCATTACATTAAACGTTGTCACTATGACAAAGTATGTTTGGTAATTATTGCTCTTTCCTTAGCAGAAAAGTATCTTATTTCTGAAGCATTACCAATCAATCAGTGTGATGTTGGTTTATCAACATAGAAGTTAAATCTATTAACTTAAGATTTTTATATTCACAAATGATGCTAATAACATTAGAGACATACTGCTAACATTAGAGAGCTTTTTTGGCTATGTTTTTATGTTATTATTGCAAAATTATAATTTTTATTTTCATCATATTTAAATAAAGTTCTGCGATAAATAAAAGCCTTTATTTTATACTCAGGATTTACTCAGTATGAAAGTATAAGGGAATTACTAAATGAAATTAGCCAAAGGATATAAAATTTAGGTATCTGATTAAGCAATAATCTATTTTATATCAGAATCATGTTATAAATAATTCAGTATACTTAAATAATGTATTTTAAAGTGAATTTCAGTCCATTTCGAATCTTTTTAAATGGCATTGTCAGGCAGCACAAGAAACCTCTTTGAATCTCCTGGTTTTCATATTTCAAGTTTGATTGCTATGCAGTATGCACAGCAGAAGTTTTAGGGCTTCATATGCAAGCTGGAATATTAGATTAAAAGAAGAGAGGTGGGGCTGAGAGCAGGTTTCTTCATGCCTCTGAAAGGAACAGAGTGGTAGCTACATCATTAACCAAATTAACCAAAACAACCAGAAAAATTTATGGGAAATTCAAAAAAAAATGTAGTTTTTGTCAAGGGTGAAAAGCAGTTCAAGATCTTTTTACTTCCCTTTGTTTGATATATCTACTGTGTTCCTTCACTCAGAATTTTAAAGATCTGGGAATTGTTCTATATAAGTGTTTTTGATAACTTTTTCTTACCGTACAATTTCTTTTTTTGGATATGATGGCTTTCACGATTTTAATATATGAAGCTTTTTTAACTTTATTTATTAAATAACAATATTATAAAACATAATATTTACTGCTGCATTACTTTTGTTTCACTACCCCTTTGTTTGCCTTCTTCTCTGATGGTCATCTTCTTTTGCTATCTGAGTCTGTTTTTCTCTCAGCCTGTGTTTACCCTTCTGTATCAGAACTTTGCATTTTAACTTATACTGTCCTCTATTCTTTATATTTGTTATGTTATTAAATACATGGCAATAACATAATTGCACGCCCAAGGAGTTTTACACATACCTGATGATTAAAGGTCTGGTATTTTGTGGAAGGGAAAAAGCAAAAACCTTAAAGTGAGAACTTGATTTCATTGATAGGTTCAAAGAAAGCTTTGAAACTGTATTGTGTGAATCATTTCGGAAGGAGAGGGCTATGTTAGGAGATGAATGGTGGACAAGTGGATGGAATTGAAATGCCCTCAAAGTTGGACGAGGTGGAGGTCTTGAAAGTTTCTTAAATGTGATGTCAATGATGGTGCAAGTACAGGTAGAAGTGGAACACCAGAATTTCACTATTTGTCATATAATTCTACCACACTAACTGGGCAGCTTTGGCCCAATTTTAATGGAGAACACTCTGTGAGATGGGTCTAAGGGTCCACACCCCTTTTCCTCTACCAACCACATTTAAGAAGGCATTTGGCTTACCATGCATTTTAAGTGACGTGATGTAATAAGGCAATATCCAAGCTTTCTCCATGATTCAAATTCATGCTCAATGATACAGTAACCAGCATTGCTAACTACTATAAAAGGATAACCACAAGAAGCAGCAGTATCTTTTAGAATGTTGAGTTCTTTTGCCAGACTGTGGGGACTGAACATAAATTAATAACATGATGAATAAAAGTCTGAATGGCTACAATTTTTTGTTTATATGAGTGGGTAGAGCAAGCTTGAAGGGGTAAAGAGACAGTAAATGGTTTGAGGAAAACACTCCTTTGGAACTCATTTATTGCAAAACAATAAATAAAATGAATAGCGATCTTGGGGTTCAAGAAATCGAATATTCATTTTCTTTTTAATTATTTATTATATATGTAGTATGTATGATATGTAAAATTTTCAAACTGTTTTCTGATTTACAAACATTGATATAAACATTTTCATGCATCAAACATTCAAATTCATTAAACATTCAAATTATACTAACAGCCTTTTATGTTGCCATAAAAAAAAGTTAGGTCCTCTGGAGCGCTCGAAGTGCCACTGTAAACTTCAAAATGTTCTACAGATAGTGTTAGACCAATTTCAACAAAATTGCACTCAGTGATATTTGTGTTATTTTTTTATATTGAACTACTTTTTGTTTTGTTTTAAATTGCATGAAGTTATGTTCCTCAAGTATCACTATTTTGTTTTGCTGTAGATTATTTTCGTATAATTCACCTCTTGTATACTGAAATTATGGCATGTATTTAAAAAGAAATACATCTTAATCCTTTTTAAAAGATTTTTTTCCTTATGTCAGAGCCCCCCGCCATCTGTCATTCACATCTCTTAGTTCTGTGCTTGCTACTATTATTTGCGAAGTTCATCGATGTTTACTACTTGCCCTTCTGTCAGAGAGTTCTACAGCACTTCTCACGCAAATTCTTAAAGTAAGTTTTAATATCCTATTTGCACTTTAAAAATAGTCCTAACTTTTCCTGTGTAACATGTGTTATTTAAAGTTTTATGTTTTTAGTGTTATGCAGTCTTAACAGAAAATGTGCCATACACCAAACTTGATGCTGAAATTCTTCTGAAGCTTATCAAGCAAACTAAAGGTTTTCTACATCATAAAGGTAGTTCTCACTTCATATAAACATCAGCAAAGTTTATTATTTCTCATTTGTTATGAAAGGAATGCGAGCTCTTGTCTAGTTGGCTTTACTTATTTACCATGTCATATGACATCTTTCTTTTAGCTTATTTTTAAGTACTTATATATTATTAATGCAACTGCCTCTGCAGAGTTCGCAATTTTTCTCAGAGAAAAAAGAATTATAACTTATAATTCCAAAAAATTATTTATTGCATATACATGTGCATGTTTTATATTTTAATAGGTATTTGTCATAAAAATCAGTCAAAAAACTCGTGTCTTTAGCTCAGGTGGATATTTTGTGGTGATCACTTTTATAAGACATTCAAAGCAGTTGTTCTGCTTAACAATTTTGCAATGAAATTCTGTATTCCTACAGAAGTTTTATTGCATTTTTTTCTGGTACAGGCTTATTCGATGAATGCATATAATAAAATAGTATAAAACAAAAAAATATAATTTGTCTGCAAAAAAACTTTAGGAACTTGGAATATGACAAAAAGAATGCATGTGAAAATAGCGATATTGTTTGCTAAAACTCGAGAATTGTTATGCAAATAGTTGACAGATGTTGGCAGGATTGTGCTAATTTAACATTTACTAAGGTGGTTGCATAATACATAAATTTCTGTTTTTATTTATTTGATCACAGCTTACTGTATGAAAAACGTCCTAATAAAAAGTAATTGCAGTGCAGTTTTATGTTAGAGCATTCTTTTTAAATGGCTATCCAACCCAACATGAGTTATTTACTGTTCATTTGTGTATGTAACATCATTTTATCGGTTCTTTTCTGTTTCACCAAACCACTTGGTACCTTTTTGTTTTGTTTTGTCATATTTCCTTGGTGCCAGGTGTTGCCAGTTAGGTTCAGCTTCCTTCCTCTTTAAAACTATGGCTCATCCAGCCATGTTTTCCACCGTATCTTAATTTTTTAAAAATTAACTGCAATGAATTCTATTATTTGGGATTTAAACTGCTGTCCTATTTCTTCTAGAGGGAGGCACATATTTTGCTGGGTATGAACATTTCAGATTAATCAGTTTCATCATTTTGTTGATCTACACCAGGGATTTCCAGTTCTTTTCTTTGATTATTCCTGTTAAAACAACAGTTTTCTTCATAGACCCTCCCTTACAACTTTCTGCATAATATATGGTGTATAACATAATGATAATATAAATAACTGCACATAAATAACTTAAATATACTAAGAGTATGAACAAGTTTTGAAAACTTTTTTGGGGGGGAAAAGACTTATGTGTTATTATTTTTCCTTTCACCCCTTGATTTCCATCCTTTGGGTCGATAAAATGAGTACAAGTTCGCTTGGGGACTAAACACTGGAGGTCCTACGACCCCACAAGCTGACCACTTGTTTAGGGCGTATGCTTATGCACCCTGGGGCCCACGGTCAAGAAAGCAGATTTCGGGGCACTGCAGTCCTTGGCCCATTAGGGCTGTTTGTGCCACTGAGTTTAGTTTTTTATTATTTTTAATTTTACAGATATAAACAAGTTATCAGACACAAAATCAGATTCTATTTGCCCAAAAGCTTAATTATTTGATGAGTGAGTTGATGTATTGATGTAGTTTATATATTTGGCACTTAATTCTTAAATCATCTTGCTCAAAAATATTCAACCTGTTTCTTCTATTAAATTATTGACTTAATTAAAACCTTCTTCCACTGGGTAAGATGAGAGAAAAGTCAATAATATCGGTTTATCAACTTTAATTTTGGGGTATTTTTCTCAAATGTTTTAAAATTCCAAACCTCAGTATATCCATGTGTGTCGTATAAGACTCGATTTATTCATATGATAAAAGGTTTTACATAAATGAACAATTAATTATCAATTATATTAATACATATTCTGTAATTGTTATCATCTCAAAATGGGAAAAAAAAAAAAAAAAAAAAAAAAAGTCAAAGACATTGCCTGCCGATATTGAGACATATTTAATTGAACTCATATGGCATCATTTACATTCCAAAGGAGAAATATTCTATATTATGCCAGATGCTATCTTTAAATTTATACCTTCTGTTTAGTTTTATATGATCTTTTTTATATAATATTTTTAATTTATTGTTATTATTTTAATTCTACATATTTTATTTACTTATTTGAAATGCAATAAATATTTTGCATAAGTCATTTTTATATTTTTATTGATCTAGACACTGGGTGTCATACTGAATCTATGGAGTATTTGTGGGGCAATGCAGAATGGCAAAATAAATTGCAAAAACATTCCATACCAACACTGAGATTTATTGAATTCAATTCAAGTGGCATCACATGCATACCAAACAAGAAATGTTCTCTGCTGTGCTAAATGCTATCTTTAATTTTATGTCAGTTGTTTAGTTTTATATAATTTTTTCTTCTTTTTAAGTGCACTGTTTGTAAATTATTGGAATTTTTTTGCTTTAGTTCAGCATATTTTATTTAGTCACTTAAAATGCAAGATGTGTAGCTACTTTTTTTTCTGAATATATTTTGATTTCATATTTCTCCTTTCCTTTTCATTTCATTTTTTGGGAAGAGAGGGGTTTTCAGATATGAGATCAAATGGTATCAAGGATAAAAAAATTACCAACAGAAATTTAATAAAAAAAAAAAGAAAATTTTAAAAATTAAAACTAAAAGGTTTTTTGAGCGGTTAAGATATAGTATTGAGCGAAAGACTTCGAAAAAGAATTAAATCAAAATGAATGGTATGATCAAAATCGTAAAAACAACCTTGTATTTAGCTTAGGTATTATGAAACACTCAATCGATTTCGAGGGCAGCTAAAGGTCCCTCCTCATCAGGAGAAAGAAATACCTAGAAAGAAGAAAATAAAGGAGTCACAGAAACACGTGGTCCTTATAAGCACTGCACGTGCTTATAACTAGATTTTTAATCAAAGTTGCACTGGGCGCCTACTTTTATTGAGCCAGGCTATCTGATCGAGCATGAAAAATTAGAATGGTATGATATTTACAAAAATATATCTCTGATTGTTATTGTTATGCTTGAAAGTAATTTAAATTCCTTGGTATTTTTATCACAGATATTCAAGTTCAAGTGGCTTGTTTAAGTGTTTTTGGGTCCATCATCAACTCTAATCAAATTCCCAAAGAAATTGAAGATATGACTTTCAGTTCTGAAAATAGTAATTTGCCATGGATTATTGACATTTGCCAGAAGAATGTGTTTAGTGAAGGACCTTTGCCTCTTATAATTGAATCTTTGCAACTATTATGTGGTATTGTGGGAAGATATTTTAACAAACTAATGTAAGTATATTTTTTAATTTTTCAAATAATTCTTCATATATAATTCTTCATGAATATATTCTTCATGCATTCAATACCATACATTTTTGTGACAAAAGGCATTTATGTAAAAATTGTAATTATTTTTGCTTGGTCCTCTTATTTATTGACTAAATAATTGGCAGTTAATGAAAAAAGAATGGGAGAAAGATGTAAATGTGTTTATTTAATCTCGAAGGAAGTACTTAACTATACTTGTATAAATTACTTGATTTCAGGAATTATTTCATCCATTTTAAATAAAAGCCTATTTTATAAAAAAATTTTTAAATAATTTTTCAATATGTATACTAAATTAATGGTGTGTATATGTATGAATAGTAAATTTGTGGTGTGTATATATAAATAAATTAAGGGTGAAAATTAGTCTGTGGTGTGTGTATATAAAAAATTAATGGTGAAAATTAGTCTGTGGTGTGTATATATAAATAAATTAATGGTGAAAATTAGTCTGTGGTGCTTATTGTGATTGGTTTCTGTTGTATTTGCTTACAAAAGATGTAAAACTCATTTAGTTATGTACAAACTTCAGTTGAAAAACATATATCGATTTTCTCTTCGCTCCACTAGGCTATCCTTTTTTCCAGACTGTTTCAAAGCACCTTCTTCCTCTGAATCTGCAGATGAGCATTTTCTTTGCTGATTCTGCATCCCCTCTCTGCAGATCTTCTATTATAATCATATTTCAGTAGCTCTGGTATTTCTTTTCTATCAGCTTAGTTTTGTGATGAAAATATTATTTCTGTTCTTGTCTTACCATACTGAATTTTCTGAAATGACTGATGGTCTGAATCCTTAAAATATTAATTTTCAATAAAAGTTTGACAGTAAGTTCATATTCAGTGTCCTTATTAATCACAAAAACTACATGAATCCACATTTTTCATGTTGCTGGTTTGGGCTTGAAATTCTCTCTTCTCTCGTATCCTTTCCATATGACATACCCATTTGCAAAAATGAATCAACTGAATTACACAGATGATCCACAGAACAAATCTTTATTTGAAAAAGGAATTTAGTTGGCAGTAAAAGATTACATCAGTAGTCTAATATTTACAGTTAAACATGACAATGCTTTTAACATGATTATAAATTTGACAACTGGAAACAACTGCTGAAACTCCCTATTCTGATTTCTTGGATAAATACCCAAAACTCATTGGGTGGAGTTATGAGATCCCTTAAAATGCAGAAAGGCTTAGCAAGCCTGGCATGTCATGTTGCTGGTAACAATACCACAATAGTTCCTCGGTCTGGTCATCAGCTTTTCACTCATTGTTATGAGTATATAGCATTACCCATTTTTATTATAGCCCAGAATAAATTATTTCTCTTCTAGACATTTCCCATGTTTTTTTTTTTTTTTTTTTTTTTTGCTAGTTGTATTTTATCTGTTGCAGCCACATGTTTAATTCTCTTCAGCATTCCTCTTTCCCACCACTTTGAATGGAACTCCTTTCCTTCTACTATTGCTCTTCATTAGTTAATGCCTCATGCTCATTGATCAGGTACTGTTTTCATGTTGATGCCAATGGAAAGCCATATACCAGATTTTTAGCAAAAATGGCAGGGTTTAAAAAATTTTTCACCGGAACCACAGTATCACAATGACTTTTAAGCGGAAGCATGAAGAATTTTCTTTTTACCTTGTATTCTAATTTTTTGCAGCTCAATGCACAAAATTCTTGACTACAAAGGCCTTTTTTAGTTTTGTTCTCCTTTCTTAAATTATTCACTATGTATATATATATAAGCAAACAAGTTAATCAATATAAAATATGTATATAATATTCATATGTTATATCAGCTTATGAAGAAGCTACTGACTTCCCTTTCCATTCTGTTTATTTATTTGTTATCTTCAACAAAGAATTTTAATTTTAATCTCTTAAAAGAACAAGCTATCTGAAGTATTTCCATTTTGCTCAGTAAGAACTTTATGTAAAATATTTTTGTCTTCAGGCTCTATTGATCTTCTCAGGTATATTTTAAAGTCCCAAATACGTACATATATAGATACACACACACACATATATATATATTATTCATAATGAATCGTTACAAGACAACTGAACATCAAATAAAACACAAAACAAAGATAGAAAAACTGACATCAGTATATCTAAAAACTCAGGACACTTCCCGCCACCCAGTAGCACTCTCATATCAAAGAATGAGGAAGGGCAGGCCATTTTCGGAGATGTGGCCATGTCTTCCTTAAAATTGGATAAGGGGCAAAAAGAATCAAGAGTGACATTGATACATTGGAGATGCTTACAAAGGCAATAATGGCCAGATATAAGATGGAACAATGCGACAGGTTTCTCTCTAGGCCATTCGGGTACTTCAAGAATCTGTCTAAACCGGGATTTATTTCTATTTCTGTAAGCAAGTTTTTGGAAAAAGGAGTCTTGTCAATTGACTGAATGGATTTGTAAGGGAGACTAGGCTGTGATGTTTGAAGGATAGAAGCAGCTCCCTTTTTAGCCCAGAAATTGGCAGCCTCGTTACCATGAACTCTACATGGGCAGCAATCCATTGAAGTACAACGTCTTTGCATTACTTGAAAGCCAGTTAAGGGGATTGAAACAGTAATTGAGAGTGGAAATCAATCTGTAAGTCAGTAGCTTGAAGGGCAGCTCTGGAAATGGATAAGACCACCTTCTTAAAATGTCCCAGATGAGTCTTTAAATGTAGCATGTCTTGGTGGATGGTCACAATTTCACCATCAAGAGCAGCTGTATATGGGCCAGTGGGGTGCATACAATGCAAATAACTCACAATGAACACCTGCACTGGTGTGAGTTACATCCCTTAGATATTTCCAGGTAATTGAGAACATGATTATAGGAAGGGATTAATGGTTCACAGCAGTATGCCAAAATAGGTTTCATAACTGGTGTTTAAAGCAGTTCTTAAGCAACCCCACTTGGAACTTGCTAGAATCTTTAAGAGAGAAAGTTCATTGAAGCTTGATGTATTATATCCTCCACATATGATCTCCAGGAAAGTTTTCTATTTGGTTAGTAGTATTGTATTCAGAATGGAGTTGATGCTATACTCTGCAGTGTTTTTTTTTGGGGGGGGACTATACAGATGACCATGCCATCAACATAAAGAAGACATCTGTTGTTATTACTAATCTCCATGTTTAGGAATATACTAGACTAGGTCCACGAGTCCATTCACTATCAAAAAATCGAAAACAAGCTTAGGAGGCTTGTAAAGGTCCTCAAGAGACAACTCCAGGCACTCAAGGATATGTGCCGGTGATGCCGGTGCATTTTGACATTTAGAAAAAATTGGGTGCATCTTGAGACTTCTCTCAAAAGTAAGTCCTTTCAGGTGTCCACTGAAGAATCGGGAAAGTGTTGTCTGAACATATCTATCGCAATCAATAGCAAGAGATGTTCCTAGACAATCAGCTTGATACCAGGGATGTTTTGGGGGGAACGAGCCAAATTTGCCTGTCTGCATGTCTTCTAATGGAATACAGTTCAAGATATGTCAATGAATTGGTAACTGGTAATGGTTCTTCAGAATCTTCCTTCGCCAGAATGTCTGCCATTTCATTCTCCCATATGTCAACATGGGAAGGAATCCACGGAAGGTGCATTTCACAGAGTGACGAGACCTGCTTAAGCTTGGTAAGAATTGCAATTCCGGCTCTATAACCAAATTTTCATCAGTTTGAACGACATTGGATGGTCGTTACGACTGTTAGACAAAAACCATACTGCCTTAAGATCTGTAAAGGACGAAACAGCGTTTAGTCCCTTTTTGATGGCTATAAGTTCACTCTTAAAAACCGAACTGAAGTCAGAATTTCTTTTTTTTATTTTAACAATATTTCCATTTGTGCATTTAATGACAACTCCACTACTGGAACGAGAGTCCTCGTTTTTACTGCCTATCAGTATAAGATAAGGGGTAGCTTCAGCGGGAATTGCGTGTATAGTTTCTAAGGTAGATTGTCGTAAAGGGCCGGAGTATCATTTTTCTTGGAAACTTGAGACAAAAGTTCCGTATGAAACTCGACCCTAGGGAGTCCCTTAGACGGATCTAAACATTGTTTTAAGGAATGCTGCTCAACATTACGCTCAATTATACCAGCATACTCACTTTGACTACGTGGGCTATTTTTCATAAGTCTTTGGTTATTACTCATGTACTGCAAGAATTCTGAAGTCATTTTTTTTGGGGGGGAGCCATAACTGAAAGTTTATTATAACATTTTGCATGGCCAGCATTTCTTCTTAGGCTAAGGGGTTGAAGGTCTGTTTCATACAATGCAATTTTATTCGGGCAACTGTTGTGTAAGCCAGTTATAATACGAGAAGCACTAAGTTAGACTCTTTCCAATTCCTGGAGGTTGGTAGAAGAGGCACAACAGTAAACGGGGAAACCATATTTCAAAATAGGTCATATGATAGCTGAATAAGTAGTTCTCAAGGTTCAAGCATCGGCTCCCTAATCACGTCTCGAGATATACTTTAAAATGTTTAGTTGTTTTCTGCCCCTAAAAACCAGTGCATCCAAGTGTTTGTTACTAGTGATCTCTGGATTGGGAACAAAGTCCAAATACACTCATGTCCAAAATTATCTTTACATACCCAAAAATGATGATATTCAATGAAATATCGAATCAATGTGATCCATATTTGCAGGGAATGTGTGAAAACCAAGCCTAATTAGCATTATCCAATCAAAAGTAATCAAACGGTTTGTGATATGCAAATAGGCGTACGTCATCCAAGGGTGAATCAAGCGCTTTGCGCAAAAACTGATATTGAGTGAATTTCTGCAACTAGCGTTTGATTTCAGTGTGTAGGGACTCAAAGCGGTTTTGCTATGGCTTCGAAGTACATTTGGAAGAATCTGTAAGTGGCGAATTATCGGCCGTTTAGAAGCAGTGCAGTCAATCATGGAAACAGCACATGTCTGAATATTTCAAGACAGAA